GAGAGAGGGGTCATTTGTTTGTCTGGAATTATCCATCCTATTTTATATTCGTCTTTTATCATGAATGTGAAATGGCAAGTGCTGATTCATTATGACACAAAGCTGACGATAATTTGTCTGTTTCTCGTTTATTTAATGCACAGGTTATACAAATCTGAATGGGAAATGACGGGATTATAAATAATGAATCCAGAGAAATATGAAGCAATTGTGGCCTATTTTGAGACAGCACAAGATCTTAGAATTTACAATGAAGGACTGGAGAAAACCATGAGAAACAGCTCGGGATAGCCAGCCTTGGGGCATCTTGTGAATATAAAGCCACAGTGTGATACGGTCTGTCGTCAGAGACAATTTTATATAGTGTTTATAGAGCTGGGTCTGATTCTGTTTCCTAGTAATCAGCTGTCATAGCAACAACAATCTTTTTTGCTCTGTTTTCTATTCAGTGTACGACCCATGACAACAAATTTAATGAAGAAGACTGCATATCCAACTCTTGAAATACTGTATACCAGACAGTCTGATATTACCAGCTGTAATGAATCAACCATTGCCACAAACTTTCAGAAAATCAGCAGTTACTCTCTCTGAACATTCTCCCCACCCAACAAACCATTTTTATCTCTTGGCACAAATTAAGTCGCCCAAAGAGATTTGAGGTTCTCATGGCAGGTCATCTGGGTTGTGATGCCATGTGGAATTGTATTTGCGTACCGGCTTCAGAGAAACATACTGCCTCCATCTTCACTCCTCACTTCAGCCCTGAAGATGCATACATTATGTTCCTCCAAATTGTAACTCCACACAGCATCAAAACCAGAAAACCATTGCTGACAAGTCACATGTAGCCTCCATTAACATTCTCAAACAGTGTTCTAAAAAACATCATTCGATTACTATGTACTGAACCCTGAGTATATATGCATCTATGCACCAACTGCTACAGTGGTAGAGAATTTCGTACAGCCCTAACAATTTACACACTTTTAAGATTTGAGGTTTTCACAGCGGTGAGTATTACGTTTTCTGTCTTCTGGGTTGTTGCGCTGTGTAGTATGGTAGATGTTAACCAAAGTTTCTGAGGTCATAATACCTTAATCACCCTGATGACGGAGGCAGTATGACCTCTGAAACGTTGGTTAACATCGACCAGACTACACAGCGCAACAACTCAGAAGACAGAAATCTTCAATTTACACACTTCCCCAGCTGCGATGCAAAGGGTGAGCAAACAAGCAACTCAATCACAGTTTCTGAAAAGGGCTCCAAGATCCCATCACACTGTAGTGATTCGTAAGTTATATTAAAAACTGTTAACTGTGACGTAAGAACCATAAACACCTTACCTATCATTTTGTAAGTCATGTCTTAGAAACTAAATATTAAAACTTAATAAACACATAAATTATTTTGACTAAATCACGTTAAAAACACATTAATTTCTAACACTATGACATAGTGACTATTTCAAATCAAAGAGGTACAAAACAACACAAAATCAACAATCAATCCAATCCAATCAAACAGCATGGCTATGACCTCATTCCTAATGAACACGAAACGCACAAATGTACACGCCAATACTCTTTTCTGGTACAAAAGAAATACTGGCCACTTTCGCACTACATTTCTTGGAAAGCCATGAATGAGACTGGCATGAAATCAGCCAGTCAAGAAAAGATCCATTGTTGGAAGTGTTCGATTCATGCACCCGAAAACTGACCCTGCTTAATTAACGCTGGGTCGTAACCATAGCTCAGGCAGATAGTTGCTGCCTTCTTATCTCAGAAGGTCCACGTTCACACCCAGGTCAATCCACGTGGAATCTGTGGTGGACAAAGTGGCACTGGGACAGCCCCCCTCCCCAAGTCCATCCAACAGTTATCAGTGGATTTTTATACAATTCCTGCACTGACTACGATAACCAAATAAACTGTGAAATGAATTATGCTGCTGACAGTTTAAACTCCAGATTTCAATGAAAGTGACAAGCCTGGACCATAAAATCCCATTATAATGGTTTTGTATAGTACCAGCTTATACAAAGACTGGAAAGTATGATTTATGCTGAACAGTATCACAAGAAAGAATAAATGGCAAGCATACTTTTATGTAACAAACAAGCTAATACTTTCAACATACATTTTACTCTGTATTATATAATCTGAGGAAACTCATTTAATCCGAATAAAATGTCAAATTACCGACTGTCCATACACGCAACTGGTATATTGAAAATCTCACATATGCTTAGAAAATAAAACAGCGCAACCCAAGAACTGAATCCGTTAATAATATTTGTTTGGGTTAAACTAAGAAGCCAAAATCATATCATGATTAATTCTGACAATCTAAAATATTTCTTGACTTTTTATCACGAGGCAGTGCCTGGAGTCTCAGTAAAATAATAGAACCCAAATAACAAAATAAAACTATTCTAAAATCACCCACTTTGAAAACAAGTACTAAAATTTCTTAAGACAATACTGATTGCTAAGATAAATGAAACTCAATCCTGACAACAAAATGGAGTTCAACTGCCTAACGCTGAATATCCATAACAAGGCCTATCTTTGTCCTTTTATTCCTAACATAACTTATTAATATTATGAAATACACAAACAGAATATTCAAAAATATATGGATATTAATTATTATAAAATATATCTGAACATTTATTATAAACACAGAGAACATATTCAAATTTGACTGTTGAACAATTTTATGATCAAATTTAAAGTTTTCTAAAACACATAAACCTACGAATTATCCACAACAAAACTGCAAATAAATAAGTAACAAGATATTTCCAATGAAACTAACAAATATTAAACATTCTAAATAAATAAAAAATGTAAAGCTCTTCGAATAAAACTTTGCACATTGAACCACGTGCTTCATATTTTAGTAGAAAATGATAAATAATAATTTACATGCGCCAGCTCTGCCCCTTTCTTCCCATTTTCACTGCGTCATCACAGAGAAGAATGAGGACCTTCTCATTACACTACCGCAAGCAGTATGATAGAAACTAACTGATGAATTTCAGTTCCTATTTACACATAACAAAGACAAGAAAAATAATTCAATAAAAGCGTAACACTGTACACTAACAGAAATATCATAAAAATGTGAATTTACTCCCACTAATAACAGTCACTTATACACTATGTAAGTAGTAGTAAACTCACTATCTCAGCATTCACCGACAAAGTCCACGCCTTCATCGACTGAAACTTTTTAAGCCCAGTGGTAACTGTACCAGTTATTCTGCATTTTTGCTTCAGAGCATATGGATTTTGTACGATTCCCAGAATAAATCATGATTATTTCCTTAAATAGTAATAAGTGATCTTTTTAATGGAGGCGTTGTTTCCTTTGAGGTACGAACCACATTTTTTAAATATTATCTGGACGACCTTCGGCCTCAAAGGGTTAATCTTAAACTTAAACACTTCCAATTAATGGTTCTTTTCCAAAACTTGCTACTAAGGGGTATAGAAGAAACATCTCACAGTCAGCAGTTAGCAATACATTGCTCAAATTCTTCACACTGACTTACCACTTACTTTCACTATTTCATAAGCAGACTATCTTTCTGTGAAGACACAAAATTATGAATGTTTTCTGCACATCATCAGGTCCTCAGAAAAAAAAACACATTTTTTCCCCCATCAGACTTTTAAATCCCATGTTGTCCGCACTTCACACTTGACTCTATATTATACAACACAAATAAATTGAACCATTTTTTAAAAATCATTAATGATCAAGTAAGTTTTAATCAGAACACTAGGGAAGAAAATCCCATACTGCAATGAAATAATGTCACATTTTAAGAAGTCCAAAAACTTTAAACGAAAATTTGTTTGAAGTGGGACAACACTTTTGGGGATAATGATGTGGCAATCGCACCAGTTCAAGCATTTGGGCAATGTTTCTGCTCGTTATACAAATGTGAAAGCAGCGTACCTATGATGGCAGTTTATTGCATGCGTAAACAATCTTTTAAAACTGTGCTTCACCATGACATATGCAGTGTGAGGAAGATATAAACAAATGTTCAATAACAATAAGAATAATAATAAGAATATAATTACAGAAAGATGAGCGAAAAGGCATTCTTTATCGTGATAATTTTAAAATCCTTGTTCAAAACTCCTTTAGCTTTTAGCAGCCACTTTACAGTAGAAGGTACTGCTCAGTTTCTCACACGATCCTTATTAAAAACTTTCCACCACACTACATTATATACAACTCCAAATATTTCTCTCATTATTACAAACAAATGTTGCTTGAAACATTGCAGAACAAAAAGGCATTTCGAAAGTTCAATAATTTAAACTTGGTAAAAATTTCTAAAAAATACAAAAAATAAAATAGAACTGTTGGTGATGCAAAATATTTATGTGGTTTGTTTGAAAAGTTTTTATTTTGTACGTATTTTGGATTTACTCCCATCTCAACGAGGGGAATGTACAAGTATTGATGAATGGTTAATTGCATATGCTCAAATTCGTGCCCCATATAAAATCTTATAGAAATCAAAAAGGTGAGAAATATTTTATGCCCACGAGGCCTCTTTTTCTTGCACTTTATGCAAAGAATGCCATATCTGAACGCAGAATACTGCAGCTTCACAACTGCAATGAATGGCTAGCACATGCAAAGAAACTACAGTGTAACTACCGCTGTGGGTGCGAATGAGACATGTGGGGATGAGGTGGGGGGTAGCCCGTGTGAGGAGGGAGTGGTGAGGGGCAGGATACATGTGGGGGTTGCTGGTAACCACTTCCCATCATGGGGCCTGGACTGGAGCAAGGAATGAGGTGTGAGGGTGGGGACTGGGCGTGGGGGTGCGGAGGGGCCATCATGTGGTGCTGATGCGGGGAACCAGGATGCTGCTGGAAATGCTGGGTATGGGGGTGTTGCTGCGGTGGGCCACCCCCCATATGTTGTGTGCTATGGGAATGTGGCGAGTACACTAGCTGCCTTACTTTCTGCTCGTCGTCTCCGATGTTGTACGTGAGTTCAGTCTCTTCGAACCCCGTTGCGGACATCCGCTGGTCTCCTCCTACACCCGACGGAGGAGGATCGGGCGAATTGAGGCACGTCTGGATAAGGGCTTTGCCCGCCTCCGAAGTGATCATCGGTTGTAGCTTGCGTGTTGCGAACGTGTATACATGGCCGGTTTCCGAGGCAACCAGCAGCATCACTTGAGTGCCCGTCAGTGTGGACAGCTCGTAAGCCTGTCGACAGAAAATCCTTTTAATCTAGGGTTTTAAAATACGCAGCAGCCACAAAGGCGTTTCACGGGTGCATACATCCTCTTCTGAAATGTCTGAGGACAACATGGAGAAGTGTGATGTTATTATTGAAGAACTATTTCGTAATAGGAGATATTGAATCAATGACAGTTCTTTTGTGATTCTTAGCAACAAAAATAAGTCTTGTTGCCCGATTTAATACACCATGTCCTGCACCCCCGTCCAAAATAAATCTACATATTGTACACTAATGGTCGCTTCCAACAAACTCCCTCTAAAAGCAAATAAAAATAAGTTTTCATTTCTATAGTGTTACCGAAAATTTGGATTTTCCCCGAGTCTGCTCAACTCTCCCCAGAATTCCAAATTCCTTGCATATGGGACTCGCGCACTGCAACACCCCCTCTCCCGAATCTGGATACGGGGTTCGAGAGGATTATGGCGAAGAGAGGGGCGATGAAAGCTATGAAAACACGCAATTATCCGTGCCTTCCGCGAGATTCGAATTCGGTCAACTTAAAACGGCCTTAAAGCACACAGTTATTGAATGCAACAAGATTGCATGCACTTGCACGAAAAAAGTCAGGGAGAACTTGGGAAGAGCTTTTATACCCATACCGAGTGTCTACTAGGAATTGTAACTGATTATTCATCTTTGTGGTCTATTTCTGCGCATATGCACACCAGAATAGGCTCCATCTCTCCCGATAAAATATGACCTCAACAAAAGTTGCATACTGTTTGGTAATTTCAGAACCGTGCATTAGATGATGCTGGTGTTGGACCAAGCAAAGTTCTCATTGCCATCGTCTTTGTTATCATTGATAGCAGAGAATTAAAACAACAAGAGAGGTAGCATCCAATGGCCTCACGTCCACACCAAGTTTAATAAAGATCCATACATTCGCTCAAAACGTATTAGTGGGACCAGACCGACACAAAAAAGTCCAGAATTTCGTCAAAATGGAAGGTTTACGAAAAGCGGAGACGTCCCAAAGGAAACAGAAATTTGTAATGATGGCCACACCTAGTAGCAGAACGACCAACACAAGACAAATGAATTGTTACGTGCATCCTGCAGCTAAAGATCTTAAGCAACAATGAAACAAACTGGTGGATCCCCTCCTACCGGCTGCCCCTAACTGTTCATTCAACATATTTCCAGTTAACCTTTGTATCTGGAGGATAAAATTAAAATTGATCTGAAGGTAAGTTGGCGAAGAAAATTGGATGTACTGCAAATTGCTCAGCATCACTTTTTTTGTCCACACTTATGAATCCAAAGGTTTTATAACATTATAACTATGAACCGGTTAAGGGAGATCCTGTACCATGTACCGGAACCACAGTAATGCCGGATAATTAAGCATACCAACAGACCAAATAGTATTAAACAGACCTTGCCCAAACAGGACAAAGCAATGTGGAAAACCTAGAGGGTTCTAAAACGGATCAAATTCTTGACGAGAAGAGTAACTTTTAACTGCTCAATGAAGATTCTTTATAATATACTAATAGCAGGTCACTCTCAAGAATGACAGTCATAAGTTCGACACCCTCACAGAACAACGAGACAGGGCACCGAAGTGCAACCCTACCTTGATTCATCTGCGCGTGATAAATGCAAGTGTAGGTAGGTGCACAGGGCACTAACATCGATGACTCATGTGGGGAATAGTATCAAATGTCATCTAGTATTGTGTTACATTGTCACCTTATCTAACTAAATCAAGGTGACTTTCGCTGGCAATGATACCAGGCATGCAGGTGCCACAGGGTATTTGCATCAGCAAGTCAGGATTCAAAAAAGTCAACCCATGCTGTCATCATGACATGAAGGCTAATATCCAATAGCACCTTTTAGAACTGGATGGGTGGATCATACAACACAGATTACAGAAGTATGTAGAAATTTTGGTCAGAAAACCTGACGTAAAGAAACCACTTGGAATGCCTGGGCAGAGATAAAAGGATATTACAATGGATTGGATCTTAAGGAAGTAAATGTGAGGGGATGGACTAGATTGAATTTTCTCAGGAACTTTGGGGAACTTTTGTGAACATGATACAAGAGCCTCAGTTTCCATAAAAGCGTAGAATCTGATCAGTTGAGATAACTATAAACTTCTCAAGGAAGACCTTGCACCATGATGATAGTTTGTCAACTGAGGTGGTTATTTAATGTTGAATGAAAATATATGAATTTAGTAAACTGGAAAGGGCATGGAAAGAAGTTCTCATAACCTGTTTTGGGGTATTATTCTGGCATTTACCAAGAACAACTGGAAAAATACAAGGACGTTCATTCATGACAATGAGCCAACACTCCAACAAAATAATTCTGAATATAAAACATATACTTTTACTAGTCAGTTCATATCCAATATAATGATGATCTACCAAACACTTCAGTTATTCAGTGCTAGATGAGAGTTAAGAAAGATTATGAATTTCTAAGTGAAAAAGATTTGGAAGTACTATGAAAAATCCCACGAAAAACAGCAATAAAAATAGCAGGTACTCCAATTTTGACCAGTTACCTCCCAAACACAAATCAATGAATTACCGTCTTACATTCACAAGCTTCAATGATCACCAGGTAAATATGATTTTAAATTTAAATATTGTATAACATAAATAAAACAAAGAGAACTTTCACAGACTGCAGAACTATGTATTCTTGACAATTTACTGACCCTCATCTCTGCTTTGGAAGTATACATCTAAATGGATTTATTACAATTATTTTTTAAAAGTGTCAAAGGTATGACATTTAGAAGAAGTTGTAAAGCAGCAGAGTGGAAATATTTGTAATACAGTGAACTGTGTTTCATATTGGATATATTAAGCAAATAAGTGCAAACCTAACAAAGTGTAAATACAATGAAGAATATTTAATTTTATCTCTTCATAAATTAATATTCTTCATCCCTTTAAATCTTTAATTTGAAAGAACAGTAACTAACATAATTTCAAAACACACAGCTATAATAATGAACCGATGCTTTTCATACTACACGATTTCATAAGTTCACTTAATAAAGGTTATGTTTGTGTGAAATAGTTTGTCTACTGAATGCTTATTGAATCTTACCCAAAAATATTAATCAAATGAGCCACATCCAAAGGCCTTCATGTATTACACCATAGTTCAAAGGTTTTAAAACTGGTACATGTACCACCAGAGGTAAACTTAAACATTTCATGTGGGACACAGAAAAATTTAATATTTGCATTACAGACAGCAAAATAAGGTGCGTTCTCAGTGACGATAAAGAGAGAAAAACCATTCATTGAACTGTAGGAATGACTACAGATAATACACTTTAATGCATGAAATATATTCAAATAAAGTCTGAAGATGTAAAATACATAACATATAAGTACCCTCACACATGAAGTTTAATAAGATAAATACTTTTGCAAAAATGATAACAAATACCCATGAATGTACCTACATTTATTTACTTTGAAGTTAATAATGTAATATATCTGTATAATTGGTTTCTTGGACTTTGTCCAACATCTAAATAATAAATCATGTTTTGGAAGCTGTCTTCAAGTAAAGAGGAAAAGAACAAAAACCGTAGCTGCTGGGCCCCCAGGTCTGAGGCTAGCTCAACCAGGGGCCTAACATACTTTGGTTTATTTAACATGCTCCTAAGCAGAAAATATATCTCCCAGATTGAACAACATTGCAATTAACCACCCTACAACTTAATTCTGTATATACCACTTCAATGCAGAGCTTCCAAAAAGTTTCTGTGCACATTTACAGACTATATGCACCCCATAAAAGTCAGATCCACTGCTTTGATTACAATATGCTTTTGGAGATTAACCAAAACACTGGGTTAGCTTTCAACATTAGACTGGGTTCATTCCCAAATGCCAGTTTTACTCTTTACACAATTTTTATACATTTCTGTTGGGTATATTTTAAGTTTATAGGAGTGGGGCCTCAAACCTTTCTTGTCTTTACACTAAGCTGCCTGTTTTTGACATCCCTTCCATTATTTCCTTTAAAAGAAGTGCCAGGGCAGTGCCCCAGCATTTAAAAAAGCACATAGGCATTGCCCTGGACCTCCCTGCCAAACTACTGTACTGGTTTCATTGTTGCAAGTCTGAAAAAAGTTTGACAAAAACTGAAGTCTTCAAAATTTTCTGTATGATGATCGACCATCCTATCAAGCTGCTATCACCCTTGAACCACAAAGAGTTAAACAATGCATTTGAACCTTGAACAGTAGCTGTTTAAAGGCAACATCAGGCCACAAGCTGCCATATGAAGCCAAGGCAGTGGAACTGAGTAAATAAAGTTAAGCCAAGGCACAATTCTCAATTTCAAAATTAGCTACAATATTTTGAACAAAATCATGACTGAATATAATTAGATGAACTTTTAAAACATTTTTCTTCATATTGATTCACCTAAAATACACTTTACAATATTTACCTCATATAGTTTATGGGTTTAATAGTTTTACAAACAGAAATGTGATAACTTATTCTACAAGACACATTCATTTTGAGAGATCTAGGTCATTAATCCTCCTTTTCAAACTTTGTTTTTTGTCTTTCACTCCAGATATTGGGGTTAAGCATAAAACAATGTTTATTCCTCATCATATCAACTGACCTACATCCATCTACCTGAATGCCTTCATTAGAAATTGACTGCCACTCTGTTCATAAAAAATATCCAGTTTTTAAGGAAACTGAAGCTAACATACTTTGGTTTATTTAACATGCTCCTAAGCAGAAAATATATCTCCCAGATTGAACAACATTGCAATTAACCACCCTACAACTTAATTCTGTATATACCACTTCAATGCAGAGCTTCCAAAAAGTTTCTGTGCACATTTACAGACTATATGCACCCCATAAAAGTCAGATCCACTGCTTTGATTACAATATGCTTTTGGAGATTAACCAAAACACTGGGTTAGCTTTCAACATTAGACTGGGTTCATTCCCAAATGCCAGTTTTACTCTTTACACAATTTTTATACATTTCTGTTGGGTATATTTTAAGTTTATAGGAGTGGGGCCTCAAACCTTTCTTGTCTTTACACTAAGCTGCCTGTTTTTGACATCCCTTCCATTATTTCCTTTAAAAGAAGTGCCAGGGCAGTGCCCCAGCATTTAAAAAAGCACATAGGCATTGCCCTGGACCTCCCTGCCAAACTACTGTACTGGTTTCATTGTTGCAAGTCTGAAAAAAGTTTGACAAAAACTGAAGTCTTCAAAATTTTCTGTATGATGATCGACCATCCTATCAAGCTGCTATCACCCTTGAACCACAAAGAGTTAAACAATGCATTTGAACCTTGAACAGTAGCTGTTTAAAGGCAACATCAGGCCACAAGCTGCCATATGAAGCCAAGGCAGTGGAACTGAGTAAATAAAGTTAAGCCAAGGCACAATTCTCAATTTCAAAATTAGCTACAATATTTTGAACAAAATCATGACTGAATATAATTAGATGAACTTTTAAAACATTTTTCTTCATATTGATTCACCTAAAATACACTTTACAATATTTACCTCATATAGTTTATGGGTTTAATAGTTTTACAAACAGAAATGTGATAACTTATTCTACAAGACACATTCATTTTGAGAGATCTAGGTCATTAATCCTCCTTTTCAAACTTTGTTTTTTGTCTTTCACTCCAGATATTGGGGTTAAGCATAAAACAATGTTTATTCCTCATCATATCAACTGACCTACATCCATCTACCTGAATGCCTTCATTAGAAATTGACTGCCACTCTGTTCATAAAAAATATCCAGTTTTTAAGGAAACTGAAGGCCTATCACTAGATACTTTCCTCAGCCAGTCTAATGAAGTTGATACCCTCACACTCCACTGTATAACCCTTTGAATGCAAAAGTAAATATCAAAAATATGTGTGGAAAGTGCTAAGAAATTTTACTGAAAAATGCAGGCAATCACAAATTATTAATACATGGAAACTATTACACATACAATCCTGAAATGTTTGCAGGAAACAGCTAATATGTGTCTGTTTCCACATGCAATAAACACAGAGCCTGCTCCATCTATTGGGCTTTATACTGGACTACAGTATGAATTATGAATCACCTCTCTGGGAGATTCTGGCAGTTGCAGCTGATTTTTCATACATCTCACAGGGAGATGCTAGCACACTTGAGGGTTAAGATCTATTTTAATACTGCCCTCCCATTTACATCTAGAGCTCTTTAGTGTTCTCTTCCCTTCATGTCTTTCCAATACAATTTGGTATGCACTTTCAAACTTATTCTGGAGAAGTTTTTACAGTTAAAGTGTACAGCACTATTTTAGTGTACTCTTAACAAGAAAATTCTTGATCCCACACAAACACTTCTTCTCGGTTAGGTTTGTTATGATTTTATTTTGTTGTTGGTTTAGATCATGTTAGCTTCACCTGTGCAAACCCACCTAAATTATGCACATTTGCTTTGTTTTCTTGTCAAATGATCCATCAAAGACCTCATTAACTACAAATTTTCAGTCAGGGACACCTTGCAATGTAGGTTATTTCAGCCCCTTCAGAGTTACAAAACTGGTACAGGCATGACAATACATCAAACACTGCATTAGGATGATACAACTACAGCGTTCAATTTTTTCTTCATACATCATGTTTTTTATGTGGTATACAGAAATGGCAACTTTTCTTTAAAATATAATAGAGGTAATAAAATTATGTTAAATTTTTTTAACATAACCTTGAAGTAACTCCACTTTTTTCTTATAAAAAATCAGTGCATACATGTATTGCTGTCTATGTTAAAATTTTGTAACCGATAGTCTTACTGTACAAAAGGTATCTTCCGACTACCAACTCTGGGTACCAGCAGAGCCAATAAACAACTTTAAATTACAGTGACAGTACACTACACATCCTAAGCACATATGATATCGAGTATAACCAAACTCATTCTCAAACTTTGTTTCATTCAAGCTAACTAGACCAAAAACAAATAGAACATAAATTAAACTAAACTGAAGCAACAGGACCAAGCCATGAAGTCATGAAAAGAACACAAATAAGCCTCTCTACAAACGAGCAAGATGGGAGGATAACATTAAAACGTACCTCAAAGAAAGGGGTTGTAAAGATGAGAACTGGATTCATCTTGCTCTGGATAGGGTCTAACTAACTTATTAACTTCTAAAGATGGACTGTGCACAATGGATCTGGTTTTAACGTCAGTCATCTGTCGGAATACTACAAACAAAAGAGGCTTATGAAATTGGTCACCGTATTTAATCTGCATTTTTTAAAATGTCCTCCCTGGCACTTAGGACACATGACTACTTTGTAACAGAAACAGCCTTCGGTTTCATAATTGTGATGCATTTATCTATCATTATCAGTCTAAAGTAATAGATATACCACTAAAGAATTTATCCGCGGACCTCATAACTCTTACGGTTCCACAAAACAATGTATTACAGCAATCAATGACTAAAGGATCAATGACATGGCCCATCTAGAATATATAGATGGTTAGTTTCCACTCCTGCACATACTTAAAACTAAAATACCTCTACCAATACGCGTTTAAAAACGAAAGCACCTAGAAGGTATGACTAACCTCATATGTTATATGGTCAAAATATTATTTCCAATGTGTTTTAGTGCTAAACCATGCAGCAAACACCACTTTTTAAAAGGTTGCTTTAAAAACACGAACGAACACGAGATTAAACGCTACACAGCATCTCAAACATTAACAAATACCACAGGTGTGACAACCCACACTGCTTCCTACTATTTTTATTGGCGTATGACCCAACATTCCTCCACGTGACGTACCTTTTTCATTATTCCAGTTTTCCGCTTTGAAAACGTTGTGTATCTTCTCAGCTTATTGTCAATATATTCCATTTTAATTTTAACACGTCCTTTTGTCTTTTTACCATTCGGTGGCGGTGTCTTTTTCTGCGCTTGAGAAAAACTATCATCCCCTATGTCCGACCCACAGTCTGTCATGCCCATCCCACTTTGCGATGCCATGCTTGGTCTACCCGACACTTCTTGATCAAAACACACATCAGATGACGTTCTTTTGACCCCAACACGTTGAATACCTGCACCACAAGTACTTGGTAAAATCGAAGGCCTTGACACTCCACCAGAACTTAAAGAGGTTGAAGGTCTACTATGGCCTGTTGTAGCATAAATTTCTGATGGCGTTTCACCACTTATAAGCGACATATTGTAACCAATATTAAATCGGGAATCTCTTCCCCCGCCTGTGGGGGTATCCATCACTGCACAGCACTAATTTATTTCATCACAATAAATGCAATAACGCAAGAACCGCCCAAGTATCGTGCATGCAACACCCAATTACACTACAACCTATTCCACACTACCATCACCAATCCACGACTGTTCGTAATTTGACCTATGTGCTTCACTGCCGAGCAACTGGCACGATGAGTTACAGGAAAAAAGTAGTTCCACCCCGAACAGTAATTAAATTTAGACATAGAAATAGTTCGTTGTACTGCATACTAAACCTTAAAACTATAACATAATATATAAGATTCATTGTTATGTCTTAAAGTGTATACTTTCTGAAATATTTACTAGGTAATTTAATGGCGGAGGAATACAACAATAGTGCTAAGGACGGCCCCACTTCCATATTTAGAAGTCGCTGTTGCCAAATTAGGTAAACTTCTCCTAATATGGTAAACAAAGATCCACCCTTTCAGGCCAATAGTCGTGGCTGACAGATACGGACTTCATTTCCTACTGAACTAGCGAACATGATGATTAGTGTACGATTAAAATAACCAAGTAGGGGATGAAAATCATATTGTCCCTAAAAATAGTTGTAACCCACCCTCCTTTCCTAAAATAGATCGAAACTATATACTTATGCTAATGGTAGAAAATAGCGTAGGACTCAACAGTCGTGTAAAGCAGTGAAGCTATGCATTTTAAGATTCTTTACACGTATTACAAATTACATGCTTATTTTTACATTTCTACACCAGGTTTTCATTTCCATACATTGTGAGGGAAACTCCATGTTGTCTGTTGGAGGATAGAACATCAGACAAATACTGCATAAAAACATTTATGCTCAAGGAGTGCTGTTATGAGATGTTGCTATGATGAGAACGGCATGTTTTAAAACTCTTGACCTGATTTGGGCAGAACACAGACCATATATATTGGTATGCCTGCTACGTGTTCAACCACTTGTAATTCATTGTGTATGATTTACGTGCGCACATAGAATAAACAAGCTTCTAACTAGAAGCGTCAAGAGTTAAACTCCATACTTGGCACTGCAGACATGCTGTACTTTGCCTTGCGGTCTACTTCGGCCTAAAACACTCAAAACACAGCATTCCCTTCCCTTTTAATAAACGAGTATGCCATTCGGAAGCATTGAAAAAGCTGAAACAGAACCAGCTACCACATACCCAGAATATCGAAGTGATACGATCTTCCGAAAATTTCTATATGCCCAGAACACAATACTGCATCTCGAATCAGACCAAACCATTTTTTGAACGATGAAAACAATTATCATAAAAGTGTATTTTTTATGTACGGGATAGATTTTACGTAGGCCTATATCGTAATTTGCCATAACATATGTACAAAACAGTGCTAACATTAATGATGGTCGTTTATTTCGAACTCAGAGTGCAGAATTTTATATACGCTTTTTGTTCATCAAGTAAAATGGTAAGGTTAGTGTCAAGGAAGAACGCTGTCATCAAAATTGTTTGAACTACAAAATAATATTCACAGTATTAATAACATAAAGGCTTACACTATGGCCACAGTAACACAACATATAAATCAAATATTTGAGAGCATCGAGAAGAGTAATGCACTTTAATTTAAATTACCAAAAAGGAGTCATCTGAGAAAATCTTAATAATTGCACGAACCCGTCAAATTTACTGCAGAGTTAAATTCGCACAAAATTCAAATTTCATCCAGCAGATGGCAGAAGATATCGTCAGCTATGCTCAGCCATCTCTCGGTACAGTCACAAACTCCTTGAACATTAGGCAGGGAACTTCTGATTATACACTCTACAAACCGTGGTTAATTATGGTTTGGTATGTATCAACGGAAAATAAACATAATAAGCACATCATCCGAGAAAAAACACAAGACACACTTAATTTTTACATAAACTATAAATTTAACATAATTATTACAATAATTTGAACTTATTTTGGATATTGTCAATCATCTTAGGTTAATTCTTAAAAATGTTTTAGAAACTGGATCTTCCCATCAAGTGAAGAACAGACAAAGGAATGTCTAATCTAATGGGTCCCTTAGACAGAAATAAGTCTCCATCTTTAGACCTATCAATAGGTTATAATGAATTGCTGACCTGTAAGTACATAGTTTCACAGCAGCAGTAGCAGATCACGAGTCTGAGCAGTGGTTGTGCTGTGCAAGGGTGGAAAATCAGAATAGTTTTTCAAAACATAATATAAATAAATGAAAAGTAAATTTACATCAGGAGAACACCCATACGTGCTTGATGATGAGTAAACTATTTGTAAGTACGGAAGAGGGTGGCCATGATTTTTTACATCACTTTTTTCACTCAAAGACAATTTAGAAAAAGTAATTTGCCATGAATATGATATACTTCCTTTGCTCATTATCATTACCAAAACAAAAAATAGTCATTACACAGAATTATTGAACACTCATTAACAATAACTACGAAACAGTTTGATACAGAAACCAGTCTAAAACACGTGGTACTGGGTAAGCGTGGTTACTATAAGCGGGCTGCAGGGACTGCAGCTCCGATACACGCTGTACAATTGAACTGCCCCTCACTCTCCACTTGTGACAAGCAGATGGAGCTGCGAACCTTGCAGCTCCAATACACACTGTACCAGTGAGCTTCCCCTCACTCCACCGCCCTCCGCGATCTCTATTTTTGACTGGCTAGCAGCGCTGAAATCCTTGCAGCCGGATGATAGCCCCGTTCTGCTTCGCACTCCTCACCCATGGACTTACAATCATTTCAGCCGATTAGTGATTAATGACAATGTAAGGGGCAATATTAAGATAATGACACAGAGGAAATAATGTGTTACGAATTATATAAACACAAAAATAAATGTCCATATGGAGTATAACCCAAAAGTCCAATGTCAACATCTCCACAGCTACAAAGGAATATCATATAAAATAAACAATTATTTATAAAGAAAAAACAATTTACTTAAGTAACAAATATTATATACTATGTATAAAATTAAGATAAAAATATTATGTACAATGGCCCATAACACAAAAATTACATTAGAGTTTCATACATTATTAACTCATTCACATTACCATACCCATAAAACATTTTTCACTGGCACTTCCTCTTCCTATGACGACTCCACTTTAAGTATGTCATCTGATAACCATGCCCTCTCTGTTTACACATCTTCCTGTGAATACTCCTCCCCTCCTCCAATGTCATTCTACAGCCTTCCTTCTCTCTGTATGATATCTTTCCTAACCTGTTGTTCCTATCTTAACTTCAGTCTCACTCTCAGATGAAGATAAATTTCTTCAAGTTGAATCACACTAAATTGCATTTTTAAGGACTGACAATACACTCTACAACATAATAATTTGCATTACATTACTAATTTGTTTCTAATTTCAGTATCCTGATTAAATATGTAAGCTAAGTGAGCGTGGATTTTATGGAAGGGATGAGGAGATATGCACAGGTGTTTCTGATGCATCTTTAGATACTTCTGCCTGTTTCAGACATTTTATGTGCAAAAAGAAAAGGAGAAAAATTGCTGCTTGAAGAGAGCTATAAATATTTCTAGACTTTTATGACCTTCAGGGAGATGTTAGTAAGCAAAGTGGCCACTGAAGTGGACAATTTAATTACAAAGGTATCTATATGAAGCCCATAAAAGCATTTTAGATCCACAATGATCTGCTCTTGAGGCTACACAGAACTGTTAATAATGTCATGACATGACAGAACAATATGGTCCCATGAGACCAATTACAAATACGTATTACAAGAAATGATTTCTTTTTTTCCAACTGACAAAGGTTAAGCAACAAAGTATGCTCTAGTTGGATGTAACCTGTGGCATAAAAACTTTTAAAAAAATTCAGAAAATCTTCAGCAAAGACTGTGTTATTGAAACTGTCCTATAAACTTCCTATATCATTAAATCTCTTGAGTTTCTCTGGGAAGCTGTCTCTATACAGTACTGGATCTGCACGGAACTCCACAGTTTGGAGAGGCATTGAACCATAGACAGAAGAAAACCTGTCAATGCACTGTGATCTCTCCATCATGTGATTTAAATCTGCCGACAGCATTTCTGTATTGGTACACTCCGGACATTTGAACTTCTTTCTTGGAGTAACCTATAAAATTTTAGTCAGATTTAAAATACGTAAAAATTATCTGTTTACTGCAGTCATTATAGTACACACAATATATTAAAACCCCATTCTTAATACTAATAATGGAGGAAAGAAGAAATTTATACAAAATGTTATTTAAATAAACAATATGGACTTACAATCATTTCAGCCGATTAGTGATTAATGACAATGTAAGGGGCAATATTAAGATAATGACACAGAGGAAATAATGTGTTACGAATTATATAAACACAAAAATAAATGTCCATATGGAGTATAACCCAAAAGTCCAATGTCAACATCTCCACAGCTACAAAGGAATATCATATAAAATAAACAATTATTTATAAAGAAAAAACAATTTACTTAAGTAACAAATATTATATACTATGTATAAAATTAAGATAAAAATATTATGTACAATGGCCCATAACACAAAAATTACATTAGAGTTTCATACATTATTAACTCATTCACATTACCATACCCATAAAACATTTTTCACTGGCACTTCCTCTTCCTATGACGACTCCACTTTAAGTATGTCATCTGATAACCATGCCCTCTCTGTTTACACATCTTCCTGTGAATACTCCTCCCCTCCTCCAATGTCATTCTACAGCCTTCCTTCTCTCTGTATGATATCTTTCCTAACCTGTTGTTCCTATCTTAACTTCAGTCTCACTCTCAGATGAAGATAAATTTCTTCAAGTTGAATCACACTAAATTGCATTTTTAAGGACTGACAATACACTCTACAACATAATAATTTGCATTACATTACTAATTTGTTTCTAATTTCAGTATCCTGATTAAATATGTAAGCTAAGTGAGCGTGGATTTTATGGAAGGGATGAGGAGATATGCACAGGTGTTTCTGATGCATCTTTAGATACTTCTGCCTGTTTCAGACATTTTATGTGCAAAAAGAAAAGGAGAAAAATTGCTGCTTGAAGAGAGCTATAAATATTTCTAGACTTTTATGACCTTCAGGGAGATGTTAGTAAGCAAAGTGGCCACTGAAGTGGACAATTTAATTACAAAGGTATCTATATGAAGCCCATAAAAGCATTTTAGATCCACAATGATCTGCTCTTGAGGCTACACAGAACTGTTAATAATGTCATGACATGACAGAACAATATGGTCCCATGAGACCAATTACAAATACGTATTACAAGAAATGATTTCTTTTTTTCCAACTGACAAAGGTTAAGCAACAAAGTATGCTCTAGTTGGATGTAACCTGTGGCATAAAAACTTTTAAAAAAATTCAGAAAATCTTCAGCAAAGACTGTGTTATTGAAACTGTCCTATAAACTTCCTATATCATTAAATCTCTTGAGTTTCTCTGGGAAGCTGTCTCTATACAGTACTGGATCTGCACGGAACTCCACAGTTTGGAGAGGCATTGAACCATAGACAGAAGAAAACCTGTCAATGCACTGTGATCTCTCCATCATGTGATTTAAATCTGCCGACAGCATTTCTGTATTGGTACACTCCGGACATTTGAACTTCTTTCTTGGAGTAACCTATAAAATTTTAGTCAGATTTAAAATACGTAAAAATTATCTGTTTACTGCAGTCATTATAGTACACACAATATATTAAAACCCCATTCTTAATACTAATAATGGAGGAAAGAAGAAATTTATACAAAATGTTATTTAAATAAACAATAGAGTTCAGATTCAAACTACAGCTGTACAAGCACAAAAATAGTAAAACAGGAGCCTGGGCTAATATTTGAATGTTTATTGTACATCTGTATTTGTAATCATTGATCTTGTCCACTTAGTTTTATGGTCAGTGTATTTTAAATTTTCAAAAGTTATATATTAAATTACTCACCTTAATTGGAGCCTTATTTGTGACATTTGCAACAAGGAAGTTCATTGCAATGTCCTCACAATTCATGTGCTCATCCACCCATTCCTTAATATTTCCTGGCATTGATGTAGTGTACAGATAGCTCCAATACTAAAAATGTTGAAGTATTTTTAGATGTCTTACTCATAAACTTGTGAGTCATTAAATGTGAAAGCAGGTTTCAGCTTTTATAAGATTTCTAAACATAACAATTAATAAAATTCCATTTTTTGCATACATTCCTCAAACCAAGATAATTAGGCACATGCAGGAATGAATTTTTTGGTTCAAGATGAAACTGGTAAGAGAATTTAAAAATGTTCTGATAATCAAGACAAGGAGGAGAACTTTCTCTTATAGACAAATTTCTCACTGCAATCATAATTTATAACAGTAGCCATTTACAATAATGCATCGAAGTGTACTATTTATCCCTACCGATATCAATCCTTTTTCAATGAAAAAGAGTTCATAAACCATTCTATTAAAAAAAAGCTCACTCCATCAGCCATGTCCTTTTTCACCATTTGTTCAACCTGAAAACTGTCACTACAGATTTCAGGTTCATTCTCATATGCTGTATTCAAAATTACACCACAGAAGTTGAATAAGTAACACACTATTTTTATTGCATGGTGGTAGTAAGTTGTACCTCAGAAAACCCCTTTTGGTGCAAGCCAAAACATTTTGGAAAACAGATAAATACAATAAAAAACATTTGAATCTTTATTATCAATGTTGGTATATTCTTTAAAAAACCCACAAAATTCTAATATTCTGAGACTTGCCTTATGGTGAAATGCAGCTCCTGTAAGTACCATTGAGATCTGATTGGTCCACTCTGATTCATACTTCCATCGCTGTGTAGCATTATCCCAGACATGAGTTCGGGATGGAAATCCTACTATACGATCTGGAAATTCTCGCCAAACCTACACCAAAATACAATAAATCCATTACTCAGTAACCAGGAAGTCAACTAGAGACACACTGCACTACAGAATTTTCCAATAAGGGATTCAGTCCGGAATATTAAATGGTAACAACATGAGTACATCAGTGTAAGTAACTGTGCCACTTTAAATTTTCTTTATTCTGTGATTACACATACAAAGTGGACTGTTAATTTTGCCCAGCTGGTGGAAACATGTACCAAGTATGACAATTTGGTGGACAAATCTGTTTGGAAGGCTGCCATACTGAAAAGATGAAAGGATAATATTAACAGAGAATTACATGAAGAAGATATGAAATACATTTAAGTATCTCAGAATTTGGTTCAATGGCAAGCTTATATGTTTTTAAAGTTGTAATTTCAGTTCTGTTACCAGAGGGTTAGTTAATTTACATTACTTCTGCTGTTACTTGAATATTACAATGTGTTCACATTAACATTTTTATCTCAGCTGTGAAAGACTCTGGTGGCCCTGTAGCCATTTGGATATACTAAATTGTAGGCTTACTTTATTTTGTTGTAGTTTATTCTTGACAAATGTTTCCCATTAATTACAAAAATAAGTTTATATTCTCACATTATTAATTTAATTGTGCTGGTTATAAAATTGTTTAAATTTCCAATCCAAATGTTTTTACATAATTAGTCAGAAACACACACACCTCATAGCCAAATTCAAGCTCATCAGCTGTCAGCATCACAATATCATCATCAATTGTAAGAATGGCCTCTGTCTCAATCTCTTCATATGGGTAAAAACGATTTGAGAGTTTGTTTTCCTTGGTCTGGATCACCTTCAATGGTTTACCAATTTTAGGCCACATCGATGCTACAAAATACAAAAATCGGATAAGTACATTATAAAACAAATACAAATAACTGTAAAACATAATAAGATATAAAACCATATGCAATTACTGACCCATTTCCACTGTCTCTAATCTTCACAAAGTTTACTCTCATTGAGGGTTCAAGTTCTATGGTTCCAGCTCAATGTTTCCAGGGTTAAATATATTCTTAGTACGCTTCTTTCAATATAACATTCAAAACCTTTTGTTCAACAATACACATTTCCTGTATAGATTTCTGAGGTATATGACCACTTACGGTGTGGTGGTGCTTTACGCTGATTGTTCCATACTACCAGAACTTTGTTGAGGCTTGGAGCCTTTACCAGTTTCTGAATGAGTGAAAATAGGCTTTCTACACGATCATATGTCAGGATGACTGCAGTGAAGCCTTGCGAACGCGGGGCTGTAAGCTGTAAAAACAGCGGTGACTTGGCAGCCATCTGTAAATATATAAAAACAACTTTAACAAATTACAATTACAGTCAACTTACGATTTATAAAAAATTACATATAAGTTGTGCCACAGAAACTACAGCATGACTCAAAAATCAATAAACTGGATACTACAGTATGACCAAAAAAAAATTGTTATCTCTGTATGATACAATAAATATCCTGATGTTATGAAAGCCATTGCCATTACAAAATTTCAATGTGGAACTCCAAGCCAGTCCAGCTCCATTCAATTCACATCTTCAGAAATTACTTTTCCATGGCTCATTTTAAAATTTATTTCCAATCTGTGCCTAGGTCTGTTCCTATGATGTTATCTATGCATTTGTTCTCCATCTCAATGAAACTGAGTGACTGGCTGGTCTGCCTTGTCTAATACCTACTGTATATGCATAAAATAAAATGTTAGTAGGACCCACAAACAATAACATAAGCAGGATAATAAGTATGACAGAAATGTGATATACATGAATGTAAAATATACTCACTGGTTCTGGAAGCACATTCCAGTCCTGGTAGGTATGGGCATTTTGGGGGAAGACTCGATCATTGAGTATTTTCAGGGTAGTAAGTGTGATAGCCTTTATTGAAGAGAGATACTGCTCATACAGCCAGCTACCTTGTCTCTGTAATTCTGCTATCCGATCATCAGACACAATGGCCAAGATTTCCATTAGGTTACCCAAGTCATCTTCTGAGACAAATATAGCTGCTCTGTTTTGAAATGAAACACACATATACACAAAACTGTCTCCTCTGCTCACTGTTCTACTGTAAAATATGCACCAACATTCTCACACCCACACAACAAATTCCACAGTCAAGAGGTAGGGTCTTTTTTTACCTACTGTCAGTTATTCAAATGATGAACAAATCCCATTGTTACTGAACCTGGGATCATCACTATCATCATTTAATCCAACTGTCATCTAAACAACTAATTTCCTTCAGACCCATTTTAATACAATTCATCCAATCATTCATATGACACCCAAATAGTCTCTCATTTTTCCATGGCTGCTACACTGCCCTACCTTCTTCATCCTTTTTGGTTCAAGAACCCAAAAAATATGTCAAAGCAGAACTTATGCATGTCATGCAAATTATTCCATTCCCTGCGCACCTTTGAGCCAATATCAATCACAGCAACCCATTCTCAAACACCTTTAATTTCTATTCATACATACCCATAAAAAGGCTTGAAAAATAGTCACACACTAGCCTGAGGCAAGATGATTTTTCAGACTGATCAGCAGAAATGTGCAGGCCACTTGCATTAACAGACTTTATGATTTTTTAATTGATGTCAATTTGTTAGCATTATGTTTCTAACTATTTTCTCTTATGTCTCATGCCAATAAAACAATGGCTAGGCCAAGGAAGGTAAAATAGGTTTACATGTGCATGCATGAACAGTAATAAAGGAAATCAACATAATATAAGTTTTTACACTATTATTATTTATTACTTTTATATAAAGAGCTAATTTCACAGACATCCCAAAGACAATATATAAAAATATCTTTATTTTCCCCAAACCCAAGATGAAAGTTAATTGAATTAAATTTTTAGTTTGGAAAATCTGGCTTTGTACAAGTTTTCAAGATCTTCTCTTGAAAATGCCCAATAAATTCTCATTGATAATGTACTTCTTTCTTAGATAGCAGTCAGTAAATAAACACAGTTTCTGTATTTGCACAGCACTGCAGACTTCTTCTCCAGACTCTGCTACTGTTTTAAGCAAGGGAACCTAACTGCATTAAATGTGTGACTCAAGATTATCTGAAGAAAGTTTCACTGTATCTAAGGAGCAGAGTCCCTGTTGAACAGTCACTCACTCACAAAATTCCCAGTCTTATAGACCTTAAAGACATGTTACAATTTTTACAACAGCCCAACAATGAGCCATATCCTAAGCAAGATGAATCCAATCAACATTCCCACAATCTATTTTTGAGACCCATTTTCATATTATTAATCTCTGAATGAAAAGTTGCAAAATTACCTAAACAAAAACATAATCAGTTATGCCTTACCTTTTCCAGTCAAGCACATCTTGGAAGGGCATCACAATGGAGTCTGCACAAATGATAGGAATGCAGCCAGCTGCAAGAGCTTCCAACAGTGTGGGCTGTCCAAGTCTTGCCCCTCGAATCACTAAACAAAACTTGGAACGCTGCAAAGAAGAAATCTCAAGTTCCTATTTAAAATACAACTGCAAATGCATAAAGAATATCTTTCCAACCTCTACAAATAAATGACTGCTGCAAACCCCAGCAGCAGAACTGAAAGTGTGGGCAGCTACAAGTACTTTACTATCCTGTCATTTTGAAAACATGTAAAACATTATCCGGTGTCCAGCTGCAGCTTGTTCCTTTGTTTTTAGTTTTCATATTGTTATAAATGGTCAGAATTTCAACAGACAAACACAAAGAAGAATAAACTTCTCACCAATGGACATGATACTGACAAAGATAACTTCACTTGTAATTATCACAACCAATTTCCCAAAGATCCACATTAATATTATCCTCCCATATCTTCAACAGTCTTCTAAATGATCACTTTCCCAGAGAGTTGCACATCAAAACAGCTGTGTGTTTCAATTAACTAACATTCTAACATCCTTTGTTATACTATCCTATTCAAATCATGAACTTCTTCATTATTCTGGAGCTTGATATAAATGTTGTAACCCAAACCTTTGTTTTATGGTGCAAGGACCTAAGCCCTACATCCAACCTTCAGGACAAAGGGTTCAGTACAGTATAATACAGTTTGTTCACAAATGTCAGGTCCACAAGAAAATAAAAACATAAATCATGGGACACAAAAAATTCCCCACTTAATAGTACCTGCACCTTGTCATGGTGGTGGGGCTTGAGTACTCAGTGATCCCAAGATCTATGCTGGCAATAGCACAGCTACTGGTAGGGCCTCCATAGCCAGATTGGTCGAGGGGGAGAGGTCAGACCAAGACAGGTACCCTGGTCCTCCAGGTTGGGGGTTTGTCGCAAGGTTTCAAAACCTCAATCAAAGCATCGGACAGAATGGACCTAACAATAGGACCAAATGGAAGAGGAGGATTGAAGAGGCCATGGACCGAATACAGACCGGAGAGCCACAGAAGAAGATCACAGAAAATTCAAAGTACCTGAAGTACATGTGGATACTGAAACACTTCCTTGCCACGACACCTCAAACTGTAGTTTCCCTGACGATCCTCAGTACACACTTCCAGCAAAAGTAATTCTGAATGATCCTGAGCCAGATGCCACAGTTCTCTCTCATATTCAGGGTGCAGATTGATTTGACTTGACACAACCAACCATGGCCTGGAACAATAAAACCAGACAAATATAATGAATCCATGATAACATAACTGAGAAATTTGTAGTATTTAGTCAACATTCAAAGACTTTCTGGTTCAACCCCTTCCTGAACACTGCTAAGGAAAAGTTGGAAACATAAATGACTAACGGCAGCAGCACAATCAATTTATAAATCTTAGCCAGCTAGTCGGCTTAGGCTCTCAGAGGACTGTTATGCCACGGATTATTATTAACCCTATTCAGTATATTCATAGTTGCCTTCCACTGCAACTTGAGGACACAACACATGTGATGACTATTACTGACCAATTATGCCCATCTGTTTCAGTGTAATGACCATTTGCACACTTCAGTACACTGTTTCCAGCATTTTATCAAGTACTTTTATAATTTTATATTTTCTGTGTCATGGTGTATAATAATTGTTGCAGTACAGTACAGATGCATTGTCAATGTCTGCACAGCACTTCGGCATCACTGTGCCATTTTCAATGTCAACAATAGTTACTGCACACATCTGAATTCTGAGTTATAATGGTAGTGTTCTGGGCTATGATGCCACATGGTCTTGTAGGTAGTTACCAACACCGCACAGGAATGTACCGTCTCCAGTTTTAGGTGAAGTGAGGACCTGAAATGTCAGTTGGTAACAATGAATTACTAGCATACTGCCTGATAACCTAATAACCCACTGTAATCCAGTTTAACTACATAGTTTTTAGTAAGTAGTGCTGGCATTCAAGATGGAAAAGTGATACCAAAATGGATGCATGTCAATAAAATTACAGATGCTTTAGATATGGATGACTTATTTTCACAACCTTGCAAACCTGTGATAGATGTCTGGTATAAGTTGCATCACTGCTGGACTATAGACTGGTAAGGAGACATCAAAACCTGGCCTGTATGTCCAGGAGGAGAAGCCAGCTCCTGCCACAATGGCATGTCCTAATGACAGTTCCACTACAGTGCTATAGTCCGGAACAGCACCAGGAACCATGCTGAATATCAAGTGGTTTTCCCCATTCCTCCAGCTGTATAAAACACAACAAAATAGCAGCTAGTATAAACATGACCAAACATTTAGACACAAAAATTAGGATAACTGGCTGGTGCACCTCACTATTTGCTATACTGATACTATTTTTTTTAGGATGTCTTGTAAACTTACTTTTCTACACTTATTATGGACCTTGCTAATATATAATGTAGTATGAAAGCATAATACCAAAAATTGTTAGTGAGTATGCGTATTTTCCATATGTAGAAACTGGGCACAGCAGAGTTATAAAAGAGTTCCAAGGAAAAATGATTTCTTAAAAGTAGTTTTCTTTATTAATATTAACTTCAGATCAGGATGTAATTTTGAATAATAATAATAATAATAATATTTTAACGTAATATGCAGTGATAGTTTGGACTTAATTCAACTTGCTCAGAATAGGGTCCAGTGGAGGGCTCTTGTCAGCACTGTAATGAACATTCAGATTCCATGGGGGGGGGGAAGATTCTTGACTGGCTGAGCAATTACAACTTCTCAAGAACTCTACACCATGGAGATAATATCCTTATAAGATAAAGATGCTTGTTTCTGTGGTGCCAACATCCATTAAGATCTGAATCTGTAACTTAAAAATCTATTGTCTCCTAGCCAATTATTCTTAATCTGCTTCCTGCTTATCAATATACACAAAAATTATGGAAATAATCTAACAGGTACACAGGCAAGTATAACACATGGATAAAAACCATAAACAAGCTGCAACGTAACAGAATGGAAATAAATATATGTACACAGAAATCAATTTTAGCTTCCTCACTAACTGCAGAACCTCGTAGGCAAACTAGTTAGATCGTTCTCCCATCATATGGCCTGTGGATATTTTGGACTGCTAGACGAACAAACAAAGCAATTTCCATACAATTTTTATTTTGTGCCCAAGTTGTGAATTTTGAGCACTGCTCTAGTAATGAAAAAACAAAATATGTGTACTCAAGACATCACCGAGAGTTTCAAAGTTGTGTTTAGCTAACACAGCATAAAATCTAAAATATACTTACTATGGTAAAGATGCCAAAGCCGCAGATGTCTCCATAACCCTAAAACGGTTTTGATTTAATGTGTCAATTGAAGGCACAAGAATGCATGCTTCTTCTGGATTTGGTGTGTAATATTTGCTCTCTAATATTGTCTGAAGGATGAAATAAAACTCTCGTGACATCTGACTACCTACTGGAATGTCTCGTCCATCCACATACTTTTTTAGGGGATAAACATATATTTGTATTTTATTACTACCTGTGTGTCCACATTGGTACACATTAAAACAGTCATAGTAACTACAATGGGGATTCCTTCCTTCAGAAAGTGGTGCATCTGTTGCAATTACTACCTCTGGCACCCTATCAAGATTGTCTAATGAAATCTGCTGATAAACCTTCTCATGTCCTTCATAAACTCCAGTTGGTAAGTAATGAACTACTATAACTACTGCAATAGAGAGCAACAAAATGACAAACAGCCCTACGAAGAAATGTCTGTAGCGATTGAGAAGTGGCCCTGGTTTAAGGGCCATTTTTGGTGTCATTATTTGTGTTGAAACTTCATTTGTTCAATGTCTTAACCGCTCCTGCATGACAATAAAACACACAATTAATATAACCTTACACACATTTCATAACTTCGCATTACTTACTGGTTACAAACTATTATGACATTTTGTGTTACGAGCAGATTTGGTCACTACAATAAAAGAAACATCAAGAAAACATAAGAATTACCTCTCGAACTTCAAGACAGCGAAATTAAATTTAATTTATTTACGCCACGAATTTATGTATTAACATAACAAGTACAGACGAAAAGAAACAGCACAAAGTAATTTACATCACACACAAACACAGTTGTGTAACTCAAACACAACAGCTCCGTGACAGAAACCTAATCGGTAAGACGGGTAACTACTCTACAACTCACCATCCACTAAGACTACTAACATTAAATTAATAATTTTGAAAACTTTATATCGTAAGTAATCTGTGTCTCAGAAGAACTTGATCCATCTTTAAGGCAAAAATGATTATGTGTATAATAATTTTCACATATCATGTATCCATCAGTTGTGGGTACCCAGCAGCATGACAAAAAATGGCAGGTTAAAGTTTTAAAATTGTCAAAGAAAAACACGTTCAGTCACAGATATTTGTATTCAACTTTATCCAAACAGTTTCATCTTCCCACGAATGGAATTCATTATACGTAAATACACATGTTACGTCTGAATAAAATATATGTAAGTGAATTATTTGAGGTCCCTTAACAAATTAATGCTCTAAATGAGAAGGTTCGAACGAAAATTGTTATAAATTATTTGTAATAGCATACACACTCATGGTTAGTTCAAGCCACTGATTATTCGTGCTTCTTTTCTTTGTTGATATTCTGTGACATTTCCTGTGTCCCCCTGTAAAAATAACTATAATTATATAAATGTAGATTAATATTTGGATTAATTTACAAGCTATGATAAAAATAAATGTAATACTTTAAATGGGTTGTTCACTAAAAACTCGAGTTATAGGCTATATAACTGACGCATCCCTGGGTTAGAGGTTCCATTCAAAGGTTAATATCCTGTTCCGGTGAGTTAATCTTCTCGTTAGCATGGTGTGCGTGTAAGGTGGGTATTTTATTGTATGATTTTGAATAGCCAGAATGTTACGTGACCTGTAAGTTCCCCGGATTTATCATAAGCTGTTCTTCGTGATATTATGTAGTTATTGTATGTGAGATGAAAGTATGGTTTATTTTGATTGCATTAAGCTTTGTGTTGCATATGTACCACGTTGTAGCACATTTCATGATAGGCCCTTATGTTTTATTTTTATTTCAATTTTCAAGAAATTGTGCGAATTAGTTTATAACACTGAGGTTTGATTCACACGCTTCTGAATTCTTTTCGTATGATTTCTGTATAGTTAATATGTCATTCAGATTTGGGTATTGGTGGTTTTGTGCATAGCATGTTACAGGTTTAATTCGTCTGGCCATTAAAGAGTAGAAGAATGTGAATTTAAATGAAAAGAAGATAATCTTCTTGTACCAGGTAAGCCAAATTTGTCACTGAAGTACATATTCTTTGTAAGTAATATATCTTCTAATTGTTATAATTCTTTGTTCTTAACCCATATGCCCAAATCTGAATGCAATGCAGTGGTGGCAAAAATAGCTGACACTTTATTAATTTTTTTCAGATAGTGTAGCAAAGTCACAATGCCACAGAATGAATATATTGAGCGCCACCGTAAGCTGTATGGCTATCGACTGGATTACCATGAACGCAAAAGGAAGAAAGAGGCTCGTGAGCCTCATAAACGGGCTGAGAAAGCTAAGAAGCTACGAGGATTGAAAGCCAAAATGTTCAATAAGCAGCGCCGATCAGAGAAGATTCAGATGAAGAAGAAGATCAAAATGCATGAGGAAAAACAAGTAAAGAAGAACAGTGAAAAAGTAGCTGAGGGAGCTTTGCCTGTGTACTTGTTGGATCGAGATGTTCAGTCCCGTGCCAAAGTATTGTCCAACATGATAAAACAGAAGAGGAAAGAGAAAGCTGGAAAATGGGATGTCCCTATTCCTAAAGTTAAAGCACAAGCTGATTCTGAAGTCTTCAGAGTTCTTCGAACTGGAAAGTCCCGGCGCAAAGCCTGGAAGAGAATGGTAACCAAAGTAACATTTGTTGGTGAAGGTTTTACACGCAAACCACCAAAGTTTGAACGTTTCATCCGGCCAATGGCATTAAGATTTAAGAAGGCACATGTTACCCATCCAGAACTTAAAGCAACATTCTGTTTACCAATCATTGGAGTAAAGAAAAACCCTAGCTCTCCTATGTATACATCTCTTGGTGTCATTACTAAAGGTACAATTATTGAAGTGAATATCAGTGAATTGGGTCTTGTCACACAGGCAGGTAAAGTGGTATGGGGAAAGTATGCACAGGTTACCAACAATCCAGAAAATGATGGCTGTATTAATGCAGTGTTGCTTGTATGATATTTTTGCCTGTACAAAGTACTGGACTTAAAATGTTGAAATAATGTTCATTGTCATGTACATCTTCTGTATTGCTTGTGAAATGAAGATAAAGGAAAAATAAAATTGAAATATTAGCATTTTGTCTTTTATTCCTTTCCTAGTGTTTGGCTGATGGAGAATATCGGTGGGGATTACACTTTGTAATACCACATAATTTTGAAGGAATTTTCCCTGTTCAGTTCATATTTCTTATGAAAAATATAATTTTTTCTCCTATAACATGTTATTTTATAATGATAATAGTTATATATCATTCATTCCCAGCTTGATGTAGTTCATCACTAACAAACTGCATCACTGTAGGTCATTATCTCTGTTCAGTATTTCTGATATGCAAAATCAGTGTATTCTTGTGTTCATAACCCAACAGAGCATCTGTTAAATTTGTTCTATCAGTCTGTCTCGAGGACAGACTAATTTTGATGGACTTTTATATTGGAGAATTTTGTGAAAAAGTCTAGCCAAAGTATCTAATTGCTAGTGGTGTTAGTTAAATGTGCATAATGGTTTAACTGTTTCCAAAGTTTAATAAAAAATGGATCACTTTGAATTCACGTGCCAGATTGAAATAATTAATGGTACTTCTCATTTAGGCAATGATGTCTGTTGCAATGTCCATAAAGATGGCTACAGTTGTTAGCAATGATATAACTGAAACTGTGAGTAAGATCAGGACTGGCAGTATTTGATCAAATAATGTTTACACTGTTCATTTTTTACTACTGTCTTCCTATTGTGTTAAAGGGAAAAGTTAAGAATTGTTATCAGCATTTAATTTTTTTTCAGGGGAAGTTGAGTGGGCACCAAAATGCAGATCTTTGTGAAGACACTTACTGGGAAAACCATCACCCTAGAGGTTGAGGCATCTGATACTATTGAAAATGTGAAAGCCAAGATTCAAGACAAGGAAGGCAGGTTTATATATTTTAAGGAAAATAATGTGATATATCCTGTGTATCTGAATATAAAATGAGGGGGATAAACAATTCTCATGAAGTCTATTAAAAAACAATGATCATGTTACAAATTTGATCTCCCTAAAGGTATTATTTCATAGGCCAAATTTTATAGAACTCTCAATAAACTAGTTCAGTTCTTTGTTTGTTAATTACTTCATCTCATAGTGTTCGTGAAATGTTCGCAGAATGCTATACAGTAACTTCAGATAGGTGAAAAAGACCGACACTTGACAATATGCTTACATCATTAGCAAGTTTTGTTGAGGATATATGTATCTGCAGAAGATACCATAGATGTTGCATATAACATACAATATATCCAGAAATTTGATATGGTATTGACATTAGACTTTTAGATGATGTTAGAAATGAGAGATACCAGCCATTGTTAGGTTGTTAGGATCTTTCTTGATCTGCTTCTTATCTTGTATTTGTTACTAATGCTCTGTACATTTGTTTAGGTATCCCCCCTGATCAGCAGCGCCTGATTTTTGCTGGAAAACAACTTGAAGATGGTCGAACATTATCTGATTATAATATTCAAAAGGAATCTACACTTCACCTAGTTCTACGCCTGAGGGGAGGAGCAAAGAAGCGCAAGAAGAAGAATTACTCAACTCCCAAGAAAATCAAACACAAAAAGAAGAAGGTCAAGCTTGCAGTACTCAAGTACTACAAGGTAACGAGTGGAAAAATGTAATCCCACTTAGACTGCCCATGTTTTCCAGTGTAATGTTCTTACTTTACATACCCCACTGGCTATGATATTAATCTCTTGATGCTACACATTTTGTAATAGGGATTTCCCATTACAATTTACAAATGTTGTGTTTCCTAATGTGATAAAATGAGGGTTCTGTTGGTATTGTGGTATGTAACGTTTTTGGTATTTTCTGTATTAAAAAATAGCTGATTTCCAGTATAGTTGACATCATGTTACCTTGTTTAGGTGGATGAAAATGGAAAGATCCATCGTCTACGACGGGAGTGCCCATCTGAACAGTGTGGTGCTGGCGTCTTCATGGCTGCCATGGCAGACCGGCATTACTGTGGGAAGTGCGGCTACACCCTGGTATTCAGCAAACCAGATGAAAAGTGAAATCAAATTCTGTAAAAACTGTAATAAAATAATCAACAGTTTGTAATGTTTTGTTTCCTGTCATTACACCTGCTACCCCCACCTAATTCTGTATTGGACAAAGGGAAATTCTTTTTGATATTCGAGATAATGTAAAAGATATGCCGTTTTCTACTTGCTCAATGAAACAATATTAACATGCTCTGCTAGGCCTATGAGTTTTGAAGAGCTTAAGAAGAAAAATTCATAGATATAATTACAATAACAAACATTTCTGTGTAGAATAAAATACAGTTTCTTCTGTATAGGTCTTGAAAATACAAATGAAAGGACAATGAAGTTGTTAAAAGACAAAAGTATATGCAGTGCAGAGCTGAGCAGAAGTACATTACTACCTTTGTCAAGAGAAACTAAATAGGGAATGTTGAAATTACTAGTATGTAACACAATGATTAATACTTTTTACTTCATGATGTTTAAGGTGATTAAGGAAAGTACAAAGGAAAAAATTCACATAAAATGTGAGGTATACTAATGCAGCCACTTCAAAGGCATAAGTGGGAATACAGCATTAATTAATCTCTGCTGAGGTACCGGGGTTATTTTTACTACGCGATTTTCTATAGGTCGGCATCTTACATGAATGCAACTATCGCATAACAGCAGAAATGACTGTACACATCAATCACATGAAAGAATCGCGGGACCAACGAATTGTCAATTGTAAGTGTATAAAATATATTTTTTAAATTCCCTTTATTTTATTTATGTTATTTCAGAGCTTTAAATATAATGCCATTATATTACTCGTCAATGTTTGGGTGCTGGGGACGCATGTCATTGACTTCCCATTGATTTACATTATAAAAGTGTTTCAATTTACACTGGTTCGTCCAGGAACACATCCCCGGTGTAAATCAAGGGCTACCTGTATTGTTACTACTTAGAAATGTATTTTACAAAAAAAAAGTACTGTACAATGAAAATTGAAAGCAGTCCCCAAATTAATGTTGTACAGGATTAGATGAACACAATAAGAAGGTGACTTTTGGTTGTCAATAATGCATATTTTGATGGTCACAGATTCCAGTTCAAAGATTGGCACATAAATATGGCCTTTAAATTCATAGAGTTACCTAACTAAGTAAGTAGATGGCTTACCGAACACGAAGGTTCATCACCGAATTAACCAAAGCCCTCCACCGGACACTGTCCTACGCCAACAAAATCCAGTTTCATTCATCTCCCATAGATCCCGCCTGAGATTATCCTCCCATCTACGTCTAGGTCTCCCCAGCGGTCTCTTCCCTTCAGGTTTCCCAACCAATACCCGGTACACACCTCTTGTACCATCCATGCACGCTACATGCCCAGCCCATCTCATTCTTCTCGACTTAATCACCCTGACAATACTGGGGGAGGAGTACAGATTTTTAAGCTCATCATTATGCAGTTTCCTCCACGCCCCATCGTCTTCCCTCTTAGGCCCAAATATCCTCCTCAACACCCTATTCTCAAACACCTGCAATCTGTGTTCCTCCCTCTGAGTGAGAGACCATGTTTCGCACCCA